TTTCCCTAAGGACACAGGAAAGCCTGATGTCCTGCTTTATCTATGCTAATAACTACAGGTAGCACTACATCTTATTCTACAGAATCCTTCAAACATCCCACATTTTTCCTCTTCCCCCATGCCCTCTTCCCTTTCTGTTTGCCCAGAACTGCTGGCACATGTCCTGGCTCCTCACAGACTTTGATGCATGGCAGCGCTCTCACCCCTTCATTTCATCTCAGCTTGGGCATCTGCCCATTTTCCCACCATTCCAAATTGTTCTCACCCAAAATGAAACAAACGCTAATAAGCAGTCTTCTCTCTCTTGCCCTCAAGAAATAAATCCCTTCTGCCAGATACATGCAGTTTCCCTCTGCTAATCCCTCCAAAAAATTGGACAGGGTTTCTACCTGTCAATTATTTCTCTTTAGAGGTGACGGGCTGCAAGTAATGTCACTTCTTAGAGTCAGTAGGTGGATGAAGCTCTTGGCAACCATCCCAGAAACACTTTTCTTGTTTCTGCAAGATACTGCTGGGGCAGAGTTGCTAATCTACAACTGTGCTGCAAATCTCAGCCCAAGAACATATGTTCTTGTGCTGTCAAGAGAGAGAACTGCAGTGAAAACATTACGTAGTGCCAACCGCCCACAAAAGATATATGGGTGCTCAAGCCCAACGCACTGAGCAGAAAATTAAGATTGTTCTCATTGATTTGCCTGAAGTGTCTGTGTCATCTATAATCAATGAAACAGTTGGGAACAAAGGACAGCCATCTCTTTTTGTTATCTGAGTAGCCAAAGAAAACAATCTAACGTAAGAAAAGTAGTGAGGACTTGTTGCAATCCAAATAACCAAAAAACATTTGTAAAAATTCAGTGTCACTACTTTGGTATGTGATTTTAAGTGAAGACTTTAAAAATGCACCTTTTAAAAGAATATTACAAATGAAATCGTTGCTAAAAGTGGGAAAGGAAATGAGAATTCCTAATATGTGTTCATAAATGTTATATAATTCACTACAAAATCTTGACTCATGAAGAAATTAAGATGCTGAAAACAGAAAAAGACTGTCTGAAAAGACAGTCTGAAAAGACAGCCTAACACAATAGAACTCGGGATTAATTCATAACAGATGTTGCACAAGCAATTACTATTTCATTCCAGTCATTTACTGCATCTTATCTATTAAAAATAGGGTGCTCAGTGATCTGGTCTATTCAAAGGATCTATGTGTATCGAGTGTGCAAAAAAGGGAAAAGAAATTATCAGTATCTATTGTACTAGTCAACCTACATTGGTTCTTTCCAATCTCCTTGATTTAATGTTCTCTTGTGCCTTGTTTCCCCCATCACTACATGAGATCATATGCATTCCTTTCCAGTTTGGTCACCATGCTCCAGTAGACATGAAATATTTTCAGAAAAAAATCAAGAGTGAGAACATGCTGAACAAGTAATGATGCGAGAAGACTAGTGTGAAAGACTAGAGCTGTTCAATTCTTTCCAATTTCTGCCAACTTCAGACTTTCATAGAAATATAACCATTCTACATACAGCCCACCACATCTATGTTTGTTCAGTAAGGAAGTGCAGTCAGATTAACAGTGCAGAAAAATTACGGTTTCTCTTCTCCACATCAGAATAGTATAAAAGATATTTTTCAAAACAGCATGCACTTCAGTGCCACGCCACTACCAGTGACAGAAAATATACCACCACCTACCTGAGACCCCAGCCAAGCAGTCGTCTAATCAGGCCACGTTAAACTGACACCTCTGTGAGAATGTGGACCTATGAGCACTGTGTTTTTACAGATGCTATTGAAATAACCAAAAGCTTGCTGAAGACTGTTCAGTTCAGCAGCACAATGTAAAGACTTATTTATTTAGGGTGTGGGAGTCCTGGCTGCAGAGTCTTAGTTTGCATTTATACTACACAGAGTTAATAACAATACAGAAAAAAGATTTAAAATTGCTATTATAAGCTGCACATTTCCTAACACGATTTTATGTTGTACAGTCAGAATGGTAACCAAAAGTGCAACTTTCTTGAAAAACTACTCATTTCTGCTGGAAAATATATTATGTTTTCCTTTTGAGTTTGTCTGCAAATTAGCATCACAATTATGGACAATGTCAGGGACTGTACAAAAAGGAATGCTTCTTCCAAAATTTTTTTTCAACGATGCACTGAGAGGAGAGCTTTCTCCTGACTTCTCTAGCTAATAATGCAATTCATATAAAGAGACTGAAACCATATTGAAAAAGTAAAAAAAACCTACTGTACACTCCACTTTTTTAGTTTTAAGTATGTCATCACAGAGAGACAGCATTTGCAATTTCTGTTTTGTATTTACTTGGCTAGGACATCAGAAGGTAAAAACTAGCAATGTTGTGTCAGAAAGACACCAAACCAGCTGTGGGCATGCAGATTTCTCATTGACATCAAGAATTATACAAAGATCAGTAAAAATCATTACCCGACACAGGCTATTTGCATTCAAAGAACACACGTGACAGCATTTAGGCCCTGCTTTGCAGAGTAATAAGTAATCAGAGCCTCAACTACAGTTAATTGCAAAAATTAAGTTTTTAGAGCCCCTGCTGTGGGGCAAGGACTGAGAGTCTCTGAAGGGCAGGAGACACAAGTGACTCAAATACTCCTCTGATGATGATGGGGTTTGGTGGACAAGGCAGACCAGGTCAAAGTTTAAACCAGAAGCAGGTGAGAGAAGGACAAAATAACAATTCAAGATTCATGTACATTTGCATAAAATAAGGGGGAAAGAAATATACCTTTCTTTCATGAGCACTGGGTACACCAGGTGTGTTCTGCTTGAGAAAGCCTGCTGTTGTGGACCACCTTGTAGGGTGTTTCCGTGAAGTCTCTTCCGAGGAAAAATTTGTGTCACTTACAGAGGTTGAGAGGCCAATCAGTGCAGGGTCACTACTACGCCGGACATGAAGAGGCATATCTGAAGAATAAAAAAGACAAGTAAATAAACACTGACTAGATTTAAAATGTTTTCCACATAGGAAAAATGTTTTTTCAAGCTCCAGATGGGTTGTTTTGACCAAATGTGGTTTCACAGAGTAAGGAGTTATTGACCTCAGCATAGCTCCTCAAGGACAAGGCTTTTTCCTCAAAACCACAGCCTTGCCACATGGCCGCACAAGGAGAAAATGAAGATTAAATCAAACTCTTTGAACCTAGCTCACTGTTTGGCTTTACAAGTACAAACATAGCACTGCTACTATCTGTTAGTGGCTGTGTAAAATAAAACTAAAAATACCAAACAGCATAAGCTTGAACAACTAAGCCACTAAGGTGACTTACAGGTATTTTAAAAAAACAAGTAGCCAAAGGCCTAAATTCAACGGCCTGGTGACAAAGTAAAGGGTGGACCAGAATGAAGTGTCCCCCACCCCACTGCAGTAGGGGCAGTGCCAGCACAGCATGCTTTTAACAAGCTGCACACCAGCCTCTCTGCAGCACAAGGCAGCCTCCTTGCCTTCCAAAATGCACTCTCCATTTCTTCCTCAAGACTTATGGAAGTGACCATTTTCTATTCTGCATTGTTCCTTTGCCTCTTCCTGACAGCTGAAACAAGATCTGTGTTGATTCACCCTGATTCTGTTAGCCTTCCGGCTGGCATGACTGACAGAAGAAAAATATTGCATTAGTAATAAACGATGCAGCAGGTAGGCAGACTGATTGGGAAGAGATAAGGTTTTTTTAATATAAGCAGAGGTCAAATCCTCCCTGGAAACTTTGACAGCACATTAAAGTTAGTTTCTCTTGAAATACAACTTAATTTTTTCCAATTTCATTTATTATCCTACAACAAATATCCACACATCTGTCATCTCCTTGCCCAAACATAAGTTTCATTGTCTGTATTTGTGACCTCTTAGCACGCTCCCACTCAGCATCAGAACAGAGGGGATGTGATTTATCAGCTGTGTTTCTCTTTACTGCTGCACTGGGCACCTTGAAAGCAAAGCAGAAAAAGAAAAGGTGAAAGTTATGGCACATACACAGTAGAGTGAGTGGGAAAGGCACACTGGGCAACAGCTCGGAATGAAAACCAGGACTGTGTTTTAATGCTTCCATGAAACAGTCCCCAAGGAAGCCAAAGGTGCAGGTCTCGCAATACTAGCAGGAAAACACGATGACAGGAGGTTGTTAAATGACTGGTCTTAAGCTTTACAATATCTTTATGCTAATGCTACAAATAATAATATTAAAATAAAGAATCTTAATTAGTATTGTATTATAAAGACAGTGAGAAATACAGTAAGTCATACCAGGCAATAAAAAAGTGAGGTTTTTTTTTTTTTTTTTATCAACTGGGACCCATGCTGTTCACACACACACACACGTGTTACATGACCAAACACTATTTCATGTTCATTCCGGTAAACAAGAACAAAGAATTAATTTTTTTTTCCCCCACAATTGTTGTACTGTTTGTCTATCCTTTGATTTTTTTTTCCATTTTTGTAATAAAGATATTCACAGGAGTTAGTTTCCAGGAAAAAAAAGGTTTTTTTTAGAAATACACATACACATACCTATATATGTGTAACACATACACACACATATATGTGTCTGGAACAAAACTAGAAGTAATTAAAATAACATTTCAGGACCTATCACTTAAATTACACAGAAAAATATTGACAGTCTGATTCAACTCTACTTCAGTTTTGATTGCTTACTATATACTCATGAACTAATATCAGTAGGTTTTTCTCTGATTGCCTCATCTTCAACTACTTGAAGTTTCATGGAGCAGCTGAAGGTAAAACCTCTCAGTATCCTACCAGGCTGCAGGAGATCTCTGTAACCAAGGTGGCACAGCGACAGTCCCAGACGTGGCCCCGCCGCACGTGACAAAGGGACCCATTAACAGCAGTGCCGGTGCTGCCGGTGTAGCCCTCAACACACACTCTCATTTATTAGATTAGCCTGGGCAAGAAAGTGGCTCTGTAGGACGCAGTGTCACTACAGAAAAACACCAATCTGTATTTGTTCCAAGCAGCTGCCCATGCATATCATCCTGTTTGCCTTAGCTACCCACCCTACAACAGAAATTACAATTTTCAAACATGAGTTCACTTTCTCCTTATGCTCGTACATCTATATATAAGCATGGTGATAGCAAAATGTTCTTGTATTTTACCCTTTTTCTTCAAATCGCTTGACAAAACAAAAGCTCACTTGGGTGAACTTCTGTTAGAAGATAAGTCATCTTGCCAACAAAGAAAGAAAAGGAAGAAACTGGAACTCAAGTCAGCACTTTTGGAGAACAGCAAGCAACCACCACTCCCTTGCCTTTTGCTTTGTAGCGAAAACCCAACGGTTTGCACCATGGTAAGTAGCAGAGAATTTTCACGATACAAGAAGTTAATCATGCAATGGAATTCCCAAACATCAATAAGCTCCAGAGAAAACATTAACATTAGAAGTTTCTCTACAAAATCTATTTACTGATGAGCCACCTTTAATATGACCCATTTCATTTTACTAAGGTTATTAAGATATTTGCAGACACTTACAGAACGCCTCTCCAAATCTTTTTTTCTTTTTTTTTACAGGTATTCTATCAATATAAAGATACAACATGATCAATTCTAGTCTCTACCTATGAAAATAGTTCCATATATAAGAAAAAGCGATTTGTACTACTAACGAAACTTCACAATAAAGTGAATTATAAAAGACAGTAATTCAGGTGTGTTGGATCTATGTATTTCCCGGTTAAACAAGAAATTTAAACATATGGTAATTATTTCTTTTATTGCTTGAACGGGACTAGCATACGGAGCTAGCTCTAGTGTATACTGCCTGGCAATGGTCAATACCACTCCAGATATTCATCCAAGAATTAAATCTTATTCACACTACATTAACAACAAGTTGTAAATACAATTTCTTGCATTACTCTCTCCAATTCTATTCTGAGAAACTGTTATAACTGTTTTGATACTCTCCATTAAAACAAGAACATAAAAGAATATACTGAACAGGTCTTTCTACCAATAATTTGTTGGTCACAATCTTCTGATTTACTTGAATTTATAGATTTGAAGAGGATATACTTTGAAATATGAAAAGGAAAATCAAAGGAAAGGAACTTAATAATTAAACCACAAGATGAAGTACGCATGGGACCGATGCAATGTCACTGATTCCAGGATGATGGCTGATACTGTTTGAAGTCTGTGGTTTCTTTGAAGAGTGGATAAAACAGCAATGAACTCTAATCACAAAGCTTCAAATTCTCTGTGGCACTAATGCACTGTAAATATTGATTTGCTTCTGTAGCTAAGGTGCCTTTTAAATAAGCACTTGAAACAGTAAATCTAATAACGAATTACAGGAAGTTTAAAAAGTCTAAGAATTAAGGAAAAATTAAATTAAAAATCATGAAAGTTACCACTAACTCAGTTCTTGAGCCACATTTAAGTACTTGAAGTATTCAACCACAAGTCCAACACTAGCTTCAGAAAGAATTATGTGTGACAGAGAATCATGTTAAGTTATGTATATAGCCACAATTCTGCTAGAAAATGGTTATTTGTATGATAAATCCAAGCTGGATAACAAAATGCTCACATTCATAATCATGAAATTCTGACTGGAAGTCTCATTTTATTAAAAGCAACAGCAATCTCACTATAAATTATAAAACCAGCCAATACACATTTTATAACCATCTTTAAATGTTAAGAACACAGAGTTGTACCTTCCCTTCCTGCCAGCAATTCCATTTTTATTTTAAAAGGGTCATCACCTTCTTGGATTTTCAAATATCTTCACGAGGCAAAAGCATTTGAGGATCTGGCAAATTTTACCCCTAAAGCTGAATTACATCGTCCTGCATGCAGGTATTCAGCACAAAGGCTGGTGGTCTCTCAGAGCAGAGCTAATATCTACCTTCCCATACCAATTTCCTCTCAGTTGTCAGCTTGGAAAGCAGGGCTACAAAAATACATATATATCTATCTACATAGCATAGCCAAGATAATTTTACTCTGTGAAGATTTCAACTGATGTTTCAGCTCCTCAGTGCCATTGGCAGTTTGGTGTGTAATGAATTTAAGGCACAGAAATAAAAATGATCTTATGGTCATTTCTGGCCACTTCACACAGACCATCAGACCCACAACTGATGAGTAGACCTGAACACGACTTTTTTTATTTTCTCTCCACATTCTAGAGTCCTCTGGGAAAACAGTGACTCAGTAAAACAAAAAATCTCTGTGAGAAAGAGTAGCTTTCAACAAGGAAGCTGGTCACATTAAACACAAGTTCCTGAAAGTAAACCCATAAGATACGTTATGTACAGAGGTGTCTTTTATACACCCTATAGATCCTATCTCAGCATCAGCATCAAGAAACTGGTCTGGTGATAGGAGGTAGAGACTCAACAGTTTTACTGCCTGTGTTGCCCATCCAGCTCATCATATCACTCAAATCCTCATCTGTAGTCCAAGAGAAAGGACGAATTAGGCTTATCCTGGGGCTCAGGAACGCAGGACTGCTTCTTTTAGCCTGAAGTACTAGAAACTATGAGTTAAAGACTTTATCTGTATTTAATTGAAATATCTCTTAAAAAAACCACTTAGATTAGCCTTGAGTTTCTCACTCCAGCAAAGCCCCCTGAGGTCTGTTTCCAATTTCAGTAGGTTCAGTTCAGCTCTCTTCATTTCACTCAGCTGGACACAGCAAGACCCAAACACTCCTTATGACCTTCAAAAGCTCAAGTCCCCAAACCAGTTCAACTTTCATTCTTACAAACTTCTAGAGACAAGACAACAGTAACTTCCAAAGCCCACTGAGGCTGGACTGGACTACAGCGAGAAGCAAAACATCTGGAGACAAAAAACAGCTGACTGTGAACTTATCTACAAACTGCATTAAACCCTAGCAGCAGCTAACATAACCCAGCACTTCTCTACAAGAGAC